CGGGCCAAGGCAGCGCCGTGGCCCTGGCCCTCAGCCCCAGTGATGATGGCGGTGAGGAGGGTGATCATCTCCGAGATGGTGACCGTCCCCGCCTTGTACCTCCGGAGGAGGTCCTGGCGCCGGTGGTCGGGGACGTAGCGGGAGAAGAGGAGCTCCCAGACGGTGACGCTCTGGCCCTGGAAGAGCCCCACGCTGAGGGTGGTGCGGGCAGCCTGCAGGGCTTGCCGGGCGTCGTCGGTCAGCTGGTAGAGCACGGAGCCCTTGTCCATCAGCTGGAGCATGAGCAGCCCCGTGTCCGGGTCGGGTACGCAGCGGCGGAGGAGCTGCATGTAGGTGAGGTTCTCGTGGGTGTTGGGGTCGAAGAAGCCCTTGGTGTCGTCGCTGGGGTCGGAGAGGATCTGGTTCATCTCGTGGTCGAAGTAGCCGCGCCGGTAGGCCACCTCCACGGGGAGGCGGTGGCTGTGCACGGGGTCGATGATGCCGCCGGTGGCGATCTGGGCCTCCAGCAGGCGGATGCCGTGCTCCTTGACGATGAGCTCCTTCTTCATGGCCTGGAAGAGAGAGATCTGGTCGCCGGTGTAGGGGTCGGTGTAGCCCGTCACGGCCCTCTCGGCCGACAGGAGCTTCTCGTGCAGCTCGCTGCCCACCAGCCCGGACGAGACGGCCTCGTCCACGGAGAGCTTCTTGTTGCTGAGCGGGTCAACGACGAAGCCGGTGGCAGCCTGCGCCTCCAGCAGCACCAGAGCCGTGCCCTGCCTCAGGATGCCCTTCCACATGGCCTGGTAGATGGTCATCTTCTCCATCTTGGCGGGGTCGGCCTTGGAGGGCACCAGCACACCGGCAACACTTCCAGTTCCTTCAAGGTATCTTCTCACACTATCCATTTGTGCTATGCCTTGTGCCGTCTCTTTTCCTTCGTGTAGTTTTTCCATTGTTTCTTCTGTAATTATTTGTGCACTTACAAGTTCTGTTGCTGTTATTTGTTGTCTGATTCCTTGGAACCAGACATCACTTCTGTCCTCTTCTTTTTCTTTAATGATATTTAGTATTGTATCAATGATTCCTTGTATAATATGATTGGATTTTTCTTTATATTTTTTCACCAGTTCTTTTCTTTTCTCTTCTGTGATGTACTCAGTACAGAGAAGTTCCCACAGTGATAATACTTGTCCATTGTATTTTCCAACAGGCACTTGTACCTTTGTAGATAATAGGGCATTTTTTGTTTGCTCATCAATGTAGAAATAATCATCTTCTTTTTCCATGACCTGCAGCAGGTACAATCCAGTATCTCTGTCTTTGTAACATCTCTGCAGGAGCTGACTGTAACTGATTTTCTCATGGGTGTTTGGATCTATAAAACCTTTGCTACCATGATCTGGATCAGAAAGCAGAAGAAACATATCATCATCCAAGTAGCCGCGCCGGTAGGCCACATCCACAGGGAGGCGGTGGCTGTGCATGGGGTCAATGACACCGCCAGTGGCGAGCTGGGCCTCCAGCAGGCGGGTGCCATGCTCCTTGACTGTTATCTTTTGCCTTATGGCCTGGAAGAGGGATATTTGATTTCCTGTATGAGGATCTGTGTATCCCGTCACAGCTTTCTCTGCCAACAGGAGATTCTTGTGCAAGTTGCTCCCCACTAACCCGGATGTGACGGCTTCATCCACGGAGAACTTCTTATTTTTTAGTGGGTCAATGAGAAAACCAGTGGCAGCCTGTGCCTCCAGCAGTCCCAGTGCACATTGCTCTGTGAGAAGGCCCTTCTTCAGGGCCTGGTAGATGCTCATCTTCTCTTTCTTCGATGGGAGTAGAACCCCAGCAATGCATCCAGTGCCATCCAAGTACCTTTTGACGGTGTCCCTCTTTGTGAGGCTGGCAAGTGTGAGACTTCCATCCTGCAACTGATCTAGAGTTTTCTTGTCAATTATCTCAGAGTTAAACAATTCTGATATTGACACATCCCCCCGGAGTCCTCTAACCTTGAGGGCTTCTGCTCTTTGCTCTGTATCCTCAATTATTTTGAAGATGACGGCTATAAGGTCTTCCAGTGTTAGGGTTTTGCATTTGTACTGCATCACTAGTTCTTTCCTTTTTTGCTCGGAGATGTAATGAGAGCAGAGAATTTCCCAGATGGAAACTGTTTGGTCCTTAAACTTTCCAATTTTCACTTTAAGGGGCTTTGAGCACAAAACCTTTTTTGTAATTTCATCAATGTAGAAGTACTTTCCTCCTTCCTGTACAACTTGCAACATGTACAACCCAGTCTCTGAATCTTGGACACATCTCTCCAGGAGCTGCATGTAGGTGAGGTTCTCGTGGGTGTTGGGGTCGAAGAAGCCCTTGGTGTCATCACTGGGGTCAGAGAGGATCTGGTTCATCTCCTGGTTGAAGTAGCCGCGCCGGTAGGCCACCTCCACGGGGATACGGTGGCTGTGTACAGGGTCAATGATGCCACCAGTGGCAATCTGGGCCTCCAGCAGGCGGATGCCGTGGCTCTTCACAATCAGCCCTTGGTTCATAGCTTCAAACAGGGACATTGGGGCTTTTGTGTAGGGCTCGGTGTAGCCTGTTACGGCTCTTTCTGCACAGAGTAGCTTTTCAAAAATCTCCCCTCCAATTAGACCTGCAGTTAATGCTTCCTCCACTGAAAACTTCTTGTTTTTCTCTGGGTCAATGATGTAGCCAGTGGCAGCCTGCGCCTCCAGCAGCACCAGTGCTGTCCCTGGCCTCAGGATGCCCTTCCTCATGGCCTGGTAGATGCTCATCTTCTCATTGCTTGGCTGTATAAGGACCCCTGCTATGAAATTGCTGCCCTCCAGGTACCTACGGACAGAGTCCATTTCAGTGACTTCTTTGATTGTTTTCTTCCCTTGGTTGAGCTCATCGAGGGTTTTTTTGTCTATCAGTTGAGACTGGAAGAGGTCACTGGCGGATACTCTTTTCCTTAGTCCCTTGAATGCAAACTTCTTGCCTTGTGTCTCAGTCTCTTTGATGATTGTGGTAACAATTGTTATGATTTCATGTAGCACTTCAGTATTCTCATCTTTGTACTTTTGCACTAGCTCTCTTCTCTTACTGTCTGAGAGGTATTCAGAGTTGAGAAGGTCCCAGACTGACACTGTCTGTCCTTTGAACCGCCCTATGTTGACACAAACAGTCACAGATTTCAACACCTCCATGGTTTGTTCATCCACACAGAATATTGCATTTTCTGACAGAGGAAGGAGCCAGAGACCTGACTCAGCCTCATGAATGCACCTGTCCTTCAGCTGCTGGTAGGTCATGTTCTCTTTTGTGTTTGGGTCAAAAAAGATTTTGGTGCTGTCATTCAGCTGAGAGAGGGTTTGGATCAGGTCCTCATCACAGAAGCCATATCTGCATGCAGCCTGGAGTGGAAGGTGATGGTGGTGAATGGGATCAATGACCCCTCCTGTGGCCAGCTGGGCCTCTAGCAAGGGAACAGCATCTCCCAGGGGAATCAACTCTTTCCTGAGTGCCTGACATAGTGAGATGGAGCTCCCTGTGTAGGGATCTGTGTAGCCAGTCACTGCCCTCTCAGCTAGAAGGAGTTTCTCGGTGAGCTCTTCGCCAACAACAGCTGCTTTCACAGCATCCCTCACACTGAGTCTCTGGTTTGTTGCTGGGTCAGTTAGGTATCCTGTGGCTGCTTGAGCTTCTAGCAGCCTCAGAGCAGCCCCAGGGAGGAGGAGATTGTTTTTCATGGCATCGTAAAAGCTCATCTTCTTTTTGGATGCTTCTATGAATACCCCGGCGATGCTGCCTGTGCCCTGCAAGTACCTCTTCACACTCTCCATCGCAGCCACTTCCTTGGGAGTTCTTATGCCCTCAGCCAATTCTTTAAACGTCTTCTCAGTAATGATGCCAGCATCCAGCAGCCAGACTGCAGGGACACTGCCCCGCAAGCCTTCCAAGGTGATCTCGGTGCGGGCTTTCATTTCCATCTCCCCAACTAGTCTGAGCACAAGAGCAACCAGCTGCTGCAGCGACATTTCCTCAGACCGGAACCTCTCCATGAAGTCACTCCTCTGCTCCTCAGTGAAATACCCAGAGTGTATTAGCTCCCAGAGGGAGACCCCTTTTTCCTTCACCACGGTTTCCTTGAAAACCTGTTGGATTTGTTCGTCGGTGTAGGCAGGAGCCACTGTCTGTTGCAGAGGCAGCAAGTGGAAGCCAGAGATCTCGTCCTTCTGGCAGCGCTTGATTAACTCAGCATAGGTCACGGTCTCTTTGCTGTCTGGGATGCAGAAGGCTCTGTTGTTGTCATTGGGCTTAGAAAGGGCCTTGCTTGTATCCTCATCCAGGCATCCTCGCTTCTGGGCAGATTCTGTGGGGATATAGTGGCCACATGTTGGATCAATAATGCCTCCTGTAGCCATCTGCACCTCCATCAACTGCATGGCCTGTTTGTCCGCAATCAGGCCCTTCTTCATTGCCTGGAAGAGGGGTATCTTCTTGCCTGTGAAAGGATCTTTATAGCCTGTTACAGCCCATTCTGCATGCTGCAGTTTCTCATGGACTTCTGGCCCAATGACTCCCTCCTTGATGGCATCATCCACACAGAGTTTCTGGTTGTTCACTGGGTCAATGATGAAGCCTGTGGCAGCCTGGGCCTCTAGCAGTGGGAGGGCTACTCCTGGTACCACAATGTTTTGCTTCATGGCCTCGTAAATGCTTATCCTCTGGTTTGATGGCTGGAGTACAATCCCCCCGATGCTGCCAGAGCCATAGAGGTACTTTCTGACAGAGTCCATGTGCAAGACTTCCTCTGGTGTGACGGATCCCTCCAACACCTTCTCAAACAGGGCCTTGTCAATGACACCTGTTTCCATCAGGTGGTAAGCGCTGATGCTGCCTCTCATGGCTGGGAACTTGATGGGGGCCCATTTTTTCATTTCCTCCTCTAGCATGATTCGAATTTGCTCCAGGGTGAGCTTCCTCAGCTGGTAGTGGTTGAATATCTCTCGGCGCCTTCCCTCACTGAAGTACTCGGAGTTCAGCAGGTCCCACACGGAGACCTTCTCCCCCCGTAACCGCCCAAACCTGACCGGCAGCCAGGAGCTCCTGAACACCCGTCTGGTGGTATCATCAATGAACTGGAGCTGCCTGCTGTTCAGAGGAAGGAGGCAGAGCCCGGTGGATGGCTCTGTAATGCACTTCTCCTTGAGCTGCAGGTAGGTGAGGTTCTCATGTGTGTTGGGGTCAAAGAAGCCCTTGGTGTCATCGCTGGGATCAGAAAGGATTAAGTTCATCTTCTTGTCAAAGTAGCCACGCTTATAGGCCACCTCCACGGGGATGCGGTGGCTGTTGACGGGGTCAATGATGCCACCAGTGGCAATCTGGGCCTCAAGCAGGCGGATAGCATGCTCCTTCACAATGAACTCTTTATTCATGGCCTGGAAGAGGGAGATCTTGTTCCCTGAGTAAGGATCTCTGTAGCCGGTGACCGATTTCTCTGCAGTCAGTAGCTTGTCGTAAACATCTGGGCCAATGACATTCGCTCTTAAAGCCTCATCCACAGAATACCTTTTGTTGGCAGCTGGGTCAATGATAAATCCAGTGGCAGCCTGTGCCTCCAGGAGGATCAGTGATGTTCCTGGCCTTAGAAGTCCTTTCCGCTTTGCCTGGTAGATGCTGATCTTCTCCTGGGAGTTGGGAAGCAGCAGCCCACCAATGCTACCTGTCCCTTGTAGGTACTTCTTGACAGTGTCCATGCTGACAACTTCTTTCGCTGATGTTGCTCCCTCCTTCAGTTTCTTAAATAAATCTTTGCTGATAATTTCAGAGCTCAGGAGTTGGTCTGCTGTCACCTGGTCCCTCAGTCCTTTGAAGGTGACATTAGCAGTGGAAGCCACTTCCTCAATGGCGGTGCTGACTGCCTTACCCAATTCTTGTATAGAGAGTGTTCCTGCAAGGTACTGCTGAGTGAGAGCAGCTCTTTGCTCATTCTGGATGTAGTCTGAGAAGAGGAGTTTCCAGAGAGACACTGACTTTCCCTTGAATTTACTTAAAGCAATGGGTACTTGTGTGTTTTCCAGAGCTGTTTGGGTCCTATGGTCAAAGAAGAATGGGGTTCCCTCAGATCCTTCTCTGCTGTCTCCACCAAGTGGCAGCAGAAGGAGCCCTGTGTTCGGATCAGTTACACAGCGTCTGAGCAGGTCTGCATAGGTCAGCTTCTCCTTGGAGCTGGGGTCAAAGAATCCTTTCATGTCATCAGTAGGACTGGAGAGGAGCTGTCTTGTGGCCTCGTCCAGGTACCCCCACTTGCAAGCTGTCTCTGTGGGGACACGGAGGTGCCTGCCTGGAGCAATTATACCCCCTGTGGCCATCTGAGCCTCCAGAAGGCAAATGCCGTGATCCCTGGGGATGAATCCCTTCCTGATGGCTTGGAATAGAGAGAGCATTTCTCCAGTGGAGGGGTCCCTGTACCCCATGATGGTCCTCTCAGCTGAAGACAATTTCTCATGAAGCTCTGGGCCAATGAGACCAACCCTGACAGCCTCATCAACTGAGTAGGTTTTGTTCTTTACGGGGTCTGTCAGGCTGCCGGTGGAGGCCTGGACTTGCAGGAGCATCAGAGCAGCACCAGGCAGGAGGAGATGCTCTCTCAGGGCCTGGTAAAGGCTTTTCCGCTCACTGGAAGGCAGGACAACACCAGCCACGCTCCTTGTCCCATGGAGGAACTGCTGAACGGAGTCGTTCTCTGCTACCTCCTGGGCAGAAACTCTTCCCTCCTCAAGACCTCTGAACATGTCAGGGCTGATGATGCCAGAGTCCAGCAGATCCCTGCTGGTCACCCTCCCTCCCAGCCCTGGGAACGTGATTTGCAGGGGTAAGAGGAGGAAGCCTGAGGCTGGATCAACAACACACCTCTTTATAAGCTCCATATAAGTGGCCCTCTCCATAGTACTGGGGTTGAGGAACCCTTTGCTGTCCTCATTGCTGGGGTCAGAAAGGAACTGGCTCATCTCTTCATCTAAATATCCCCTCTCACAGGCAACATCTGCTGGGATCCGGCAGCCAGTGGCTGGGTCAATGATGCCTCCAGTTGCAATCTGGGCCTCTAGCAGCCGGGTACCTTGCTCTCTCCTGATCAGGTCCTTCTGGATCGCCTGGTAGAGGGAGATTTTCTCTTCCGTGTAGGGGTCCACGAAGCCAGTAGCAGCTTTCTCTGCAGAGAGTAGCCTCTCCTTCAGCTCCAGCCCCACCAGCCCCAGCTCCACGGCTTCTGCTACAGAGACATGCCTGTTCTTCACTGGGTCAGTGATGAAGCCCATGGCTGCCTGGGCCTCTAGAAGACAGAATGCTGAATCCAAACTCAGGAGGTGCTCTCTGGTAGCATCATAAAAGCTCATTATCTTCTTTGAAGCCTCTACATACACTCCAGCAATGCTGCCAGCTGCCTGCGAGGGCTCACTAGAAGCATCCATCACCACCACATCCCTGTCAGCTGCCTTTTTCTGTTTGCAAGGCAGTATGTCCTGGCTCAAGTGGTTTGCTCCTGGCATGTCTTCCTGGTGAGAGTTGGGGGCAGCATGGCCATTCACTGCTGGCTTGCTCTCCATCCTCCCACTGCACGCCTTTCACAGCTGTCAAGACTCTTTGAAGAGAGGGGAGAGAATGGGAAAGCTCAGTGAGAAACCAACTTTTCTATGGGTTGCATGCTAAATAATACTGGGAAAAAAAAAAAAGAAAAAGAAATACTTCACAGGCAGGAGGAAGTAACAGCTGAAGGCTGAGCATATTTAGGGCACTGTGCTTGCCCCTGAACATGACATGCTGAGCCAGACCTGCCAGAGGCAAGCACCCTCTGCTTTCTGAGCTAGACTTGCTGGGTGCACTGGGACATCTCAGTGTGACAGAGAGACTGGAGCAGAAGCACTGGTGGGACCCATGGAGCACTGAGCTGAGGCAGGCCTGGCTCCTGTGAGGAGTTAAAGCCCCCCCGAGCTGTCACATGCATTTGGCCACCAGTTTGTGCAGGGCTCATCTCTGCACAAAACCCTTGTAGAGTGCTTCAAGGGCCTGGGGCAAAGCAGCAACCCCAGGGAGTACCAGCACTCGCTCGGGCTGCTGCTGACACCGGCACAGGGATGAGCAAACCCTGAGCCAGCACAGAAAGGCTGCTCCCCTCTGCCAGGGACAGGGGCTGAGCCTGGTCCCCTGGCACACTCCCCACAGCAGCACCGGTCAGCAGGGGCTGGAGCCACCGGGCACCCAGAAGAATCCCTGGAGGCTCTTTGCCTGGTGGACACTGCTGCACTGAGACGGGGTATCTGCCCTCCTTGCCTTGCTCAGAAAGCGTGGGAAGGGGGGGGGGCAGCCAAAGGAGAAGCAGGTGGGTGCAGCAGGCCACACTATTTGCACACAGACCTGCATCCCTGCACTCATGTTTGAACAGCTCCTGGGCAAACTAGGATCAGCCACAATGCAGCCATTATACAGTCAAATTATGGTGCCGGAGGGGAATACGAGGCTGTCGCACGCTGGGCTGTGCACACCAGAAGGCTTGGAGGGCACTTGTGGCTGAGTACAGGCTGTGCAGAGGTCTGGGAGCTGTCATCAGCCACAGCCTGCGGGCTATGGCTGTGGCACACGATGCTGCAGAGGAGCCTCACTGCCCACAGCCTTGCACAGTGGGGTGTCCGTGCCCAACACCCTTCAGTCCTTGGGCTGGAAGCTGGTCCTGCAGGAGGAGGCTGCAGGGTTGGAACAGGTTTGAGGAGCACGGGGGCTGGCCCTGCTATGCTGGAGCAGCAGAGATGGCTCTTTATTCCCTCGTGAGCCCCATCCCCTAATGGAGAGCCCCTGGCACCAGTGCAGAGTGGGGTGTGCCAGGGCTGGACCAGACCTGCGGAGGCAGGCGAAGCCACAGGACCAAGCATGAAGTGCTGCGGCAGGCTGAGGAGACCCACTTGCCTGAGCTTCTGCAGCGGAGCTGGGTCGTGGTGCTGTCCGCTGGCATCTCTGGACCCGGCCGCAAGGACACAGCCAGAGCAGGGCTACTCCATGGTATGCACTGCTGTACGTGGAAAGGCGCTGGCAGAGCAGTCCCATGGAGAGCTGGTGCCACACTGACCCTCCCGTGACGGTCGCACCGAGTGGCGATGGTGCGGACCAGCCCTATCTCGCTGCCTGGGGCTCACGGACCCACGTCCTTTCCTTGCGCTGCCACCTTAAATGCACCAGGGAGCAAAGAGCAGCATGCCGGTGCCAGCGGGTGCTGCGCCAGGGACCTGCTCGCCATGGGACCAGCCTCTCCAGTGGGGATCTGTGCACCCAGCTCTCTCCCCCTGTGCCCACTCCAGCTCGTCCTGTGCCCCACGGGCCAGTCCAGCACCTTTTCCTTGCCAAGGGCTCCTCTGTCCCAGCCGCGCTCTAGGCTTGCTGCCCATCCCAGGGGAAAGGTCCCAACAGGCGGTGGCTCCGTCCGCCCCGTGATGTCAGTGCGAGCGTGGCTGCGCGGGCTTGGATCTGCCCAGGCAATGCTGTTTGTGTTTGCAGGTTCAGGATTGCACCTGGCTCTAGTGCCAAGAGGTGGGGACGGCGGGCGGGACGGCCATGAGGCTCTGGGAAGGGCTGTCCTGAGCCACACTGGGTGAGGGGAGGAGAGCAGGGTTGGGACTCGGGGAGGGGGGTGTCTGTATCTCTGCCTGGTAGGGGAGCTGCTGTGGGGCGAATGCAAAGGGCCCATCTTGCTGGCTGAGAGCGGGGGAGTTGCTCTGTCCTGTGCTGTGGGCTGTGGGCTGGGAGCAGGGGGTCCCCTGCCCTGGGCAGCCCTGTGCCTGGCACCACGCATATGCAAAACATATGCCAGGGCTGGCAGCACCTCACCACCAGCTCTACCCACCCCGGTCCTGGGGCCGTGCTGCCTTGCAGGGCTGGGAAAGCTACTCCCAGCCCCACAGCCCTTACCTGGCGGAGTTAGATGGGTTAGATGGCACGGGCTGTGCTGCGCTTGGGAGAGGCTGGGCTCAGCCCAGCCATGCCACGGGCACAGGGGTGGGCAGTGCCGGTGTGGCTGCGGTATCCGGAGAGCCCCGGGCAGATCCCCACATGTCTCAGACCTAAGCCAGTCACCGGCACCAGAGTGCAGAGGGCATTTGGGCACTGCCACCAGTAAGACTGTGGCAGCTTGAACACCCGATTCCCATCGGGGCTGGGGACCAGAGGTAGGAACCCCCCAGGGCTGAGGTGGAGCCCCCTGCCCTTCACGGGCAGGGGAGGAGGCAGCAGGCGTGTGGGCAGAGAAAGGACTCTTCTCCCTTTAGTCAGAAGGCGTCAGCCCCATGGAAACTTTTAGTAACCAACTCTGCCTACAAAGCCAGGGAGATTCCTGGCGGAGGTTCAGGCGTTGGCACCTGCAGCCCTCCCTGGGGCCACGGTCTCTCCCCGACGCGGGCAGTTCTTCCTGGCAGCGGCAATCGCTGCTCTGCGCCTTTCACTTCTGGCTGTGTCAGGAAACGTGCTGGCGTGAGCCGCGGCTCCGGACTGCACTGCACGCACAGCCCCTTCGCACCCACCGGTGCCGCGACCCTGCGTGAGTGACAGCAGGAGGGTCTTCCTCGTAGACCCAGCGCATGGGAGAGCGTTGCAGCTATGGCTGCCCCACATCCCATGGGATGACCCTGCACATCTGCACCCGCAGGGTGCACCAACAGGCCGGCGCCAGCTGGGGAGGGAGAGGCTTCTGGGGGCTGTGGGGAGAGACTGGGAGAAGGGACAGGTTTTACTGGCAGAGTGGGGGATCTGGTTTCAGGGAGAGGGTGGCGGAGGAGGTGTCTGCTGGGGAAGGGGCAGCAGAGCATTTGGGAGGGGCTGGGGCTGCGGGTGGGAGCCTGGGGGGGGCCGGGTGAAGACTGTGGGGTGGTCTCTGGTGGGACAGGCTGAAGCTAGGGGTGTTTCAGGGGGAGGGAGAGCAGTAGAGAAGTTGGCTTGGGCTGTGACGGAAGGGTGATAGGGACAAGGAGGGTAGCCGGGATACTTTGGGGGTCCCTGCTCTGAGAGGGGCTGGGGTTGCAGCCCAGCACGCCTTCCTGGGCAGTGCTGCCTGCCCGGCTTCCACGGAGCAGGGGATGCAGTGCCTGGCTCCCACTGATGGCCAGTGGCAGATGGGCTCCTGCCAGCTGACCTGCCTCGTTAGGTGCCTGGAGCGGGGCTGCTCCTCTGCTGCAGCTGTGGGAGGTGGTCGCACCCTGCCCATGGGGGGAAATCCTATGGTGCCGTGTACCCACCTCACTGGGTATGGTGGACTATGGAATGGCACTATGGAATGGTGCTTCCAGCCCCCTGCCCCACTGCCTTCCCCCTCCTCATCCCACTCCCAGAGCATGCCGGGGTCAGGGACCACCATTCTCCCGCTGTGCTCGGCCTCGAGGGCCGGCAGTGCCCAGTATGCCACGGCACTGTACAGCTCTTACCCTACGCCCACTGTCCCACCCTGGCACCTGGCCGCAGCCCAGCCAGACCGGCAGGCGCTGGCAATGCCGCATTCCTCGCATACCCAGAACCTGCGCAAGTGCTTCTGTCCGCCGTGACCCCCCCCGGCACAGCCCCACGAGACCCAGCCAGGCTCCTCTCCATCCGACCTCTCCTACCTGCCCACGGTGGTCGCAGGACGGGCTCGCCCAGCAGGTGCCCGCAGTCCCGCTGCTTCCTGCCTGGGACCAGAGCACGTTTAAAACCTTGCCCTTCCCCGCCCCTGGGGATGACACACCGGCCCAGCCCTGCCAGAAACATGCGGGCCAGCCCTCCCCACCTGCTCCCTCTGGCTGCCCCAGGGTCCCCCCTCTTGCAGGGGGTCTGGCTGCACTCTGGCCCTGCCGCCCTATCGCTGCCCTCCCTGCACAGTGCCCCTGCAGGCGAGGGGTCCGCCAGTCCCGACGTGGCTGCAGCATGGGCAGGTGGCCCTGTCCCCGCAGGCAGCCGTTTGCTTGGGCAGTGCCCTCTGCAAAGGAGAGACCTCCACAGGGCCAGCGTGCCTGCGCTGCTGTCGTCCCCAGCAGCCTCTCACCCTTCTCCCCATCGCCCTATAACCACCCCCTATGTCAGCAGCCTTAGCAATGCCCCTGCACCTTGTCCTGGTGGTGGCTCCCAGGGCAGCCCCTGCAGCCCTCGCTACCCATGCCTGCTGCATGTCCGTTTCCCATCAAATTGGCTGTGCTGCTGTGTCTATTTGGCTGCACCCCAGGCTGCAGCTGCAGGGCTGACAGACCCCAGGCTTCCACCTGCGGGCCTGGCCAGGGCACCATGGCAGCTGGGGTGGAGAGGGAGGACCCTTCCCCACTCCCTCCAACCTTGCCCACATGCCTGGATGTGCACGTGGAGCCTGAATTGCCCCAAACGTGCCTATGCCACCCGAGTCACCCAAACACCCCTGCCCTGCCTCCATCACCAGCCCCACACCCAGTTCCCCACTCCACCCTGAGCACCCCCTCTCCTCTCCCCGGTGCCACAGGTGCTCGGTGAGCCCCAAAAGAGCAGCAGGCACCGTGCATGGGGAAGGGGACCACCTCTGGGGCCACCAGGCACTGCGGTGGTTGTGCCGCAGCCCCCTCCTCGGTGC